CTGTGGGCTGGGGCAGAGGCCTATGGGAGGGGAGATACTGACTTTCCTGCCCCTGGCCAGAGTCCTGCCATATCATTTTGCACTGGCCCCACAGATTATGTAGTTGATACTGATGTGAGTAGATGAATAGCATGATCTGGCTTGCTTTTTTATCACTCTGACTGCATATTGACTATAGGAGAGCAAGGGCATAATGGGAAGCACAGGGAGGAGGTAAGAATCCAGGAGGGAGATTATTGAGAATGAAATCAGAGTGATATCAGGGAAAATGGTAAGAAATGGTCAAATAAAAATAAATTTTGAAGGTAGACCCAAAAGTATTTTCTGGCAGATTAGATACAAGGTCTAAAAGAATGAAGTAGTCAGGGATGATTCCATCTTCTGTTAGCTTGAGAAATTGGAAGAACAGAGTTGCCATTAACTGAAATGAGGAAGGAGGAGGGTAGGGTGGGGTGGCAGGCAGATCTGAAGTTCAGTCTCAGACTATTTTTTTGAGATGTCTTATAGGCATCCAAATACAAATGTGGAAAAAACAGTAGGACACACTTTGGAGTTCAGGGGCTATATCCAGCGTGGATAAATCAATAAGGGAAATCAGCATATAGGTGGCATTTTAAAACATAAGACTTCACAAAATTATCCAGGGAGCAAGAGTACATAGAGAACAATTTGAGGACTGAGTCTATTTAAAGACAGAGGAAATGAGAAAGAAATAGCAAAGGATCCATAATTAGCAAAGACGCAGGTTTTGAGACAGGAAAAAACCAGGAGCGTGTGGTATAGGAAAAGCCAAGCGAAGGACAAATTTCAATGAGTAGAAAGTGATCAACTAGGTGACATGCTGCTGAAGGGTTCAAGTGAGAGCTGAGATGTTTAGTAAGTGGATATTTTTGGTCATGGACTTGGTAAGAGCAGTTTCAGTGGAGCGGTTCTTGGTTTATTTGACTGCATTCAAGAGGGTTGGAGAGAAGGAATTAAAGAAAGCCAGGTTAGGTAACTAAGGAAGTTTATTGTAATAGGTTCCAGTGGAATGCAGTGGTGGCTAGACAGGAAAGTGGAATCAAAAGTTTTGCTGTTTTTTGTTTTCTTTTGTTTCTTAACTAGTGGATAAATAAGAGCAAGTTCGTATGCTGATTGGGATAAGCCAGCAGAAGCAAAAAGACAATTGTGGAAATTAGTGTTGAGTTTTGCTCTTGAGCAGTGAGAGGGAATGAAAGCTGGTGAACAAGTGGTGTCCCCTTACAGAGGCAGGAAGCCGCATAGGTAGGTACAAATGCTGGTAGGTGGGCAGGTGGGTTCTGCTCTAATCGCTTCATTTTTCTCAATGAAATGGGAAGTAGAGTCATCAGCTGAAAGTAAGGATGGAGAAAGAGGTGTTTAAAGTTTGAGAAGGGAACATAAGAAATAAAAAAAGAAGAGAAGCAAATGGGCTAGCAAGACATTGGGCAGCTGCTGAGTCACCCTGGCCCCATGGCAGGCTCACAGCTGTGGATCTCAAAGGCACACTGGTGGCATGGCCATGCCCTTGGTGCAGCCACAGCCAGTCACACAGGTTCGGGCCTGAAGTCAATGGAGAGCAGGGTCTCAATAGGGCTGGTGTTTTGTCAAGAGAGATGAAGATGTGTTGGTTGGTCATGGAACTTAAATTTGTGTAAGAAGAAAGGTGAGGGCATGAAGGGGTAAGGGACATGAACAGGAGGGAGAATTGAGTTGAAGGGCACATAAGGGAGGGATCTAATCATTTAGGAGGGATTATTCAGTGGGCTGTTTGCAATTGATATTATGAAGCTGTTGGGTAATGACATGGTTTAGGTTATGACAATGGAAATGAACCTCTGAAATAGCATGGCAAGTTCATCGGAGGTCACAGCACTGAAGACCAGGAATCCATATTAAAACCACTGATTCTGATGCAGGGAGGTCCAAGGACTATGTTTTGAGGAAATCTCCTTTTACAGAGAGTTGACTAGCTAAACATAGAGTTTTAGAATTAAATCAGAAAATATGAGGGGTGAGGAGAAGCATGAAGAGTATTAATAGAATGTTGTGTATTGAGTGTTTGCACTGGACACTATGTCAAACAGTTTACATGCATCATTTTATTTATTTTATTTACAACATTGGATGCTAGAGATTGTTATTATTCCTAATAATGATGACCATGAGGGCCAGAGAGGCTAAGTAACATGCCCAAGGAGAGCACCTCTGTCTGAGTCTAAACTCTGAGCTTTTAACTATTATGGCCATCAGCAGTGATTTTGATAGAGGTGATATTAAAACCTGCATCCTGAGATATAATAGACTTATGGGATTAGACTCTTGAGAACCTCTCATGTACAAAGCCCAGTATTATGCATTATCTCATCTAATCCTCATGTTAATTCTGTGTACTAAGCAATCGGCCGTGATCATGGGGCCAGTAAGTAGCAGAGCCTGGATGTAAATGTTCATCCTCTGACCTCCCTTCCATCAAATTCCACCAGTACTTTCCAGAGATGGGCCAGTTAGACACTTTAAAAGGGTCCAAACAGTTTTAAATAAATACATTAATAAGACAACTATTACTAATTTTTTTATAACCTAACAGGATAACATAATTCCTTGTTTCCATGGGAACATTAGTTAGTAGAAAATGTAACATTCTTTCTGTTGCAGAATTTTCTTTCTAAAAATTCATTCAACTATATTCAACTTTCTTTCTAAAAATTCATTCAACTAATTTATTGAGCAAACAGTCTGTGCAGGTGCAGTGCTAGGTGCAAAGGATACAATTGAATAAGAAATATCTCTGCTCTAAAGTTAACTTCAGTGATGAGCTCAGCCCTTCAGAACCTCAGATATTCCGCAGAGCCTTTTCATGCCTGGTATAATATAAAGCAGTGCCTTTGGCCTAGAATACACTCTATCCCTGAGGACTCAGTTTCCTAAGAGATCATTCCTCTTAAAGATCAGCTGTGTGCCCTGGAGATGGAATTTTAGATTTGGACCTTAGGAAGACAGAACCGGGGTTTTCCAAAAAGAGATTTTCCTACTGCAAAGGGTCCAATTTCAAAGCTAGATTTAAAAAATACAGCCTTTGCCTGGCATCCTAATTGGCTCAGTGGTACTGCATTGACCCTCCTTCACCACTTGGCCATGACTTTTGTTAGAAATACTGGATTTGTACATGCCATGTTATGTTTATAGGCTTTGTGGACCACCACCTCCCCCCGTCCCCGACCGCCCCTGGTCAGGCAAAGGAGAGATAAGGCTGCACTCAAGACACCAGTCTGTAAATAATAAAGGAAGATGCGTGCAGGAGAGTGGCAAACCCCACTTTGTCCAGGTTAGTGCTAAAACAGCAGATGAGCTGTATGTAGTACAAGATGTCTGGGGTGGATATTTCTACATGCAGAAGATTTTTAAAATGCACTTCTGCTACATAATGCTACTAATTAAGAATGACACATACACCACTTCAAAAAGAGCTTGGTGTCTACAGCAAGGAAGAGGGGAAGGTGTTATATTTTGCCTCCAGATTTAGAAGACCACAACTGGTGCTCTTAGTGGCAGTGTAACATGTGTTACTTCACTTCCCTCTGGTCTTAAAACATGTGAGTCACAGCATAATGTAAGAATTACATTCTCTGTCTCTTAGACTGCAAAAGTTGAATGAGAGAAATCAGAAACAAAGTTTTATTTAAAAAATGAAGATTCTCTTTGTATTGGGTTTTGAGTCTTTTCAAGCCGCAAAACACTTAATATTCTCTTTATATCTAATGTGGTGAGCCACTCTGACCGCAGGTTTAATTTATTCCAGTCCTTTCGGGTGTTGCGCGGCCACACATCAAGTATGTAACTCCTATCTCTTTAAGAGAAGGAAATTCTGGTTTTGGAGGAGGAGGTGCCTGCTCCCGCTCCGCCACTCCCCGCCCGCAGGTACCAGGTTCCCGCGGCTGCGGCCCCGCCCCGCCGCCAGGGGTGCTGCGTTTCTACCTGCGTGAGGGTACCGCCCCTGCTGGCGTGGTGGCTTCCCGGCCGCGGAGAGGGCGTAAGGGGGACTGGCCGGGAGGCGTGGGCCTGGCAGCGAACCGCGCCAGAGCCGCCTCCTCAGCCCCCGAGTCTGGGCGCCCGGGCCTGCGGGAAGAGCCTGGAGCCTTCGGGCTGCCGGCTCCTTCCCCGAGGGCGCGGGCTCCCGGTGGCCTTGTGCGGCCCGGGGTACGCGCTTCGCGATGCGCCCTGCACACCCTCTCCCACTCAGCCCTCCCAGACCCGGCACACCCACTGAGCGGCCGGCGTTCGCGGCCCTGGCGTCCGAGTCAAACCTGGTCTCCCAACCCTCGCCAGCCCCAGCTGCACGCCCAGCCCTTCTCCAGGTACCCGCAGATCCGAACGGAATACAAAGAAGCCTGCACCCACTCGCCCTCGCGGCCGCCACATCCGCCTGTATCCACTCCTCTGCGACCTCCGCGAAGGCTGGACGCCCGGACCCCTCCTCTCCGAGCCGTCCCGCCCTTCCCCCAGTGTCTCTCAGATCCACCCAGGTTTCCCCGAAATCCCGTGAGCTGGGGCCCACGACAGTGGCCCTCTTCCGGACCGGCCGCGCCTTCCGGCCCACAGAGCCCGCCAGCCTCTTACCCCCGCCCCGCCGGGCCGCGCCGCCGGGTCCCCGCCCCTCCTCCGAGGCCCTTCTCCCCCCGCCTCTCCCGAGCTGGGGCGGGAGCCGCGGCAGCCGGAGGAGAAGGGATGAGGTCATCCTCTCCCTCGGAGTCAGCTGGTGGAGGAGAGGAAGCGGGAGGAGGGAGCGCGCGCGAGGGGAGGAGAGGAATGTTCAGGTCCGAGGAGCGGCGCGGCGGCCGCTGCTGCTCCAGCTGCTGGCGGCGGCGGCGGCTCGGGAGGCAGCCGCGGGGCCCGGACGGCGAGGAGCGCGGGCGGCGGGCAGGGGCGCGCGCCGGGCGCCGCGAGCAGCTTGGCTCCGCGCAGGCAGCCAGGCGGCGCTCCTGCCGGCCTCGGGCGCGCCGCTAGCCCGGCCCAGCGCCCAGCCCGGCGGGCAACGGGCGGCTGGCGAGCCGGCGCAGGAGCAGCAGGAGGGGGAGCCCCACCGCCGGGGAGGGAAGCCGGGGCGAGGCGAGGAGGTGGCGGGAGGAGGAGACAGCGGGGAAAGGTGTCAGATAAAGGAGGGCTCTCCTCCGGTTTGGAGGCATCATGGCCGCTAAATCAGACGGGAGGCTGAAAATGAAGAAGAGCAGCGACGTGGCGTTCACCCCGCTGCAGAACTCGGACCACTCGGGCTCGGTGCAGGGACTCGCCCAGGGCTTGCCGTCGGGGTCGGGAGCCGAGGACGAGGAGGCGGCCGGGGGCGGCTGCTGCCCGGACGGCGGCGGCTGCTCGCGCTGCTGCTGCTCGGGCGGCGGCTCCGTGGGCTCGGGCGGCCCGGGCGGCGGTGGGGCGGGCTCGGCTGCGCTGTGCCTGCGCCTGGGCAGGGAGCAGCGGCGCTACTCGTTGTGGGACTGCCTCTGGATCCTGGCTGCTGTGGCCGTGTACTTCGCGGACGTGGGCACGGACATCTGGCTCGCCGTGGACTACTACTTGCGCGGCCAGCGCTGGTGGTTCGGGCTCACGCTCTTCTTCGTGGTGCTGGGTTCGCTGTCTGTGCAGGTGTTCAGCTTCCGCTGGTTTGTGCACGACTTCAGCACCGAGGACAGCGCCACGGCCGCAGCCGCCTCCAGCTGCCCGCAGCCCGGAGCCGACTGCAAGACCGTGGTCAGCGGTGGCTCTTCGGCCGCGGAAGGCGAGGCTCGTCCTTCCACGCCGCAGAGGCAAGCGTCCAACGCCAGCAAGAACATCACCGCTGCCAACGGCGGCAGCAACGGCAGCGGGGCAGCCCGGGTGAGCGGCAAGCACAGGTCTGCGTCCTGCTCCTTCTGCGTCTGGCTCCTGCAGTCACTCATCCACATCTTGCAGCTCGGGCAGATCTGGAGGTACCGTATCAGGGGTGGAGGACGAGGGAGACTTTGTCGCTGCTACACACCCACTGCTTTGCTTTTGCACGAGAATTGTTTAGGGTTGCTGTGGTAGTAACCCTAGTCACACTCTTTCAGTTTTTTCTTCTTTCACCTGGATTTTCCATTTTTACATTCTGTGGTCACAACCTAGCGTGGGACTGAAGCGAGGAACAAGGACTAGGCAGCAAACTGGTTTTGGTCACCTCATGCCTTCTGTCTGCTTCACTAGCTTCTCTCTATGCTACACCTCCCTCTCCTTTTTAGTGATACTGTTTCAGTGAGTAAAAGAGGATCTCTGTCACATCTTTAAAAAAATCTTTTTTGTTATGTTGAATTTGAGGTGTATGTTGCAGTTTGGATAGCTTCTTTTGTTCCCTGAGAAAAATTGCTGATTCTAGTTAGTTGGGAATTGTTGCTGCTCAGAAGTACCCACATTTTAATTCTTACTGCTAGGGAAGTAGTGTGCTCCAAGTGGAGAGCCTAGTAGGGACATGGCCTGTCTTTTTTGGAGACTATCTGTATCTACATCTGTCTACAAATAAGGGCACTTTAAGGGACCCAGACTTACTTTTCTGATAATCTTGCAAGATTCCCCTATCTGATTTCTCATATAACTAAGAACCTTGGAAAAGGGGTGGTGTGTCTTGCAAAGTTTTAAAAAAACTTTTAATGGACATCTTCTTTGGCTGTTTTGCTACTTGTCATTCAGTCTATCAAGTCTTTACACAGGTATCATTTCCACTTAGAAACTGGAATACAAGGGTACACTTGCAGGGCATTTGAACCTACAAGTCACTGTTTAGAAGTAGGAATATAATGAAACAGTATGCTAAGGAATATGTTCTGACTTTTATACATTTTTAATAGGTTTTCGAAGCAGTATTTTGCATCTACAAAAATTCTTTGTATTGAAGCTAACATCTGAAACTTTATTTGGTTAAAATGACATAGTGACTTTGTAGAATAAGTAAAATGAGGAAACTCCTAGCAAGCGCACTGATATGGGGCTACATTCTGCTATGGCAGTGTCCTTTTCAATTTCATTTGTAGTTATTTTTCTGATAGATACATTGTAAGTCATTAACTATGCCGAGGTATCCCATGTGGAAACAACTCAGAGAATGAAAGGAATGGAACTGAAAACTTTTTTGTTTATAGTGAACAGTAGTGTTTTCATTGAGAAGAGCAAGTGTGATACTTTGCAACCTTTCCTGGAACCATTTTTCTGTGAAGCAGGGTAAGCATTGCCACAGTTGGTGAACTTTCAGATTGTGAAACTTCCTTCAAGCAGATACTTTCTGGAAAAGTGTATATGATATGCAGTCAAACAAATTGATGTTGGAAACCTCCATATTTTGGACTCAAATGACTTTTGGAAATACCAATTAAATGTGATTAGCTGTATGTCTCATGGATCACTATTGTGGAGTCTTACAGTGTGATGGTCTTATTCAAGTTTGATGAAGAACTCAGATGCTTGATTTAATTACTTCAAATGGAAATTTATGGCTAGGATGCATATGATTAGCCGTTTTAATCTGATACTGCGGAAAATGAAGCTTAACATTCCATTTGTTAACTTTTGCAAATTATGCAGGATTTTGAAGTCACTTTCAATCACCTTAAAAATGTTTAGATTTATGTAAATAATTCAAACACTTCTCAATTCTATTAATGAAGAATTACCCATGTTTCCTACAGATTGATACTTTATGAAAAATATAATATCAGATTCTATGAGCTAAAGAAGTCATTTTAATATCAGCTGTATTTACTAAGACCTTCTAAGCCATCGTTTTCCCAGTTGTAAAATGTTGTTTAATTATCTCAGGACTTAAAATGCAGAAAGTCAGAAACAATTAGGAAAAGAAAAGGGCTTAAACACATGTCGGTGAGAGCACAGCCACTGGGTCAGCTGGCCATACAGAAAAGCTATCAAAGGGGAAAGAGTGACTGAAGGGTAAGGTTGACTGCAGAAGGAAAAAGCTTCGTTGTCAGACAAATGCATTAAGTGACCCAGCCAGAAACTATGGTCACAGGTGGTTCCTTTCTGTTAAACATTTCTACAGTGTTTTCCTTAGAGGCTTTGAAGTTTATTCTGCTAACGCATGGTTGTCCGGAAGGAAGTATTTTCAGATATTTGTGTACATTTTCAAAATAATGTGTTTAACATGTAAGTCTGAATTATCTAATCTAACTGTTGTTAGATTCTGGATAAGATATTTGGGGGATGGTGGAGTAGCTTGGTGGAAGCATGGTCTGAGATTCAGCCTGATTTTCTCCTTATAAAATATGTTAACCACAACTTTAGCCTAATGTAGGGAATTGAAAAAGGATCAGAAAGATCATGGAATTCAACACTCAGATGCATTCTACATTGCTCCAACCTCTTGGAGTGTAGAATATTTGAATGGAACTTTGAGTAGGAGTAGATGCATCTTTGACAATAAACTGGTAAAATGCAAGTAATTTCAGATTACTGTATTAAACCATATGTTAGACCACTATGATTCCTTAAATTAAGAGCATTCGTCTGCCCCTTCTAGCTTTTCTTCTCAATGCATTGCACATAAATGTTGCAGAAACACCAGGGTACTGAATGGTTCAAATCTCAGAGGTCATTCTTCATGTTTTAACATTCTACTTTCTAAGATCAATAAAATTGTTTTTAGCTGAGTTGGTAACTGTTCATTGTATTTCCATAAAATTCTAGTTATTTTAGGTAAGGACCGGGTTCTAAAAACTTTCTGTAGATGAAATCCTTTTAAATAACATCACAGTGTTCGCTTGTTCAGAGATAGCTATTTGTAACATTTGGACAAAATTTGAATGTATTTATACATTTATTACAAATGCAACTGTTGAAAACAATGATACATACCCATTTTAATTAAAGTTTACTAGTGGGGAATTAATGGCAGCTTTTAAAGTTGTAGGAGTTGATTCTGGGAACCAGCCATTTGAAATAATGAGGTGAACTTTTGCTACCAGGTGAAAAGAGCAATTGTGACTTTAAAAGAACTGTGTTTGCAAATGAATGAGAAAGTACTTTTCTCTTCTTCAATTCAGATGAATCCAGCAGTTACCAAGTAGTTCAGCCAGTTGAAATCACAAATGGCCAATCAGTTTTTAGTTTTCATACGCATGATCAGTTATATCTAGATGTCCTCTTCCTTTAGAATTTAAGACTTACTCTTAAAATTCTACCTGAATTTCTCCTGTGTATATATGTACATATTCAGTTGCTTTCTAGAAAATAGGCTTATTGCAAACAATAAGTTAGTGGATGGTAGAGTGGAGATTATTTTTATTACTTTTACATTTTTGGTTTTTGTTTCTGAATATCTATCATCAGAGTCATGTGGGGAAAAACTGGTGAAAGAGTAGTTTGTTCTCTTCTTCCCATGCTTGATATTCCACAAGGTATTAACATGTGCTCCATAGTCAAACTGGGAAAATGGCAGGTTAAAAAGAATTAAACAGATCTCTCTACATCAGGACTGCTCATAGGTTTTAATAAGCTAATGTGCAGTTGTCAAAAACTTTAAAGGCACACCTATTAAGTACTCATGTGATGATGGGGCACAAAAAGCACTCTGAGAAATGTTGTGTCTGCCATTCTAAGACCTGTCCAAAGAATGATAATAATAATAATAATAACAACAGACAATGTATATGGCACTTAAAAAAATCTAAAAATGTTTTTATACTCCTTATTGTATCTAAATTTTGCAATAACCTAAGAGGAAATCATTAGTATCCCTTGGGCTCATAGAGATTAATTCACTAGCACAAAATTACTCAACTAATTTTCCTGATACAGCTAAGAGTCAAAACAAGGCCATTTTGTCTGTGCTCTTAATGTCTATGTTCTTTCTGGCTCACTTACCTCCAAATGCTAGCTTGGACAATAATGACAACAGCGTATAAAAATGACAACTTACCTTGGCTAAGGATGGCAAAGTGGGAGAGGGAGCTGCAGTTTGGATAGGTCAGGATCTTTCCAGTAACACACCACTAGTTAGTTAAATGACAGAACAGGGACTTGAGCTCAGACTGTCTGACTCTGAGACCAGTACTCCTCTTACTACACCATTTGGACATGCTAAGATTGTTGCATTAAATCTCAGCTGAATAAACATGATCTTTATGTTATTAGTGACTTTAATGATTAAATGGCATAATGCATGTGAACATGCAGGAAGTGCTTTGCAAATGATAGATAAGGAATGGGTAGGAAAATACAGAACATCTAGGTTATACCTTCGACTATTGAAAAACTACTTTGTTGTTTGTGAGTTAGTTCTGAATGTATGATACAGATCAGGCAGGATTGATGCCCTTTCCTGAGTTTATTGAATGGTCACTATATATTTGTATTCTTCTACTGCATATCAATTTATTCATGTAGCATATGTTGAACACTTACTCTGTGCAAGGCACTGTTCTAGTTACTAATTATCCCAGGATGAATAAAATACACATCTTTCATGGAATCACTGTCTGATGAGGAAGACAGAGAAGTAAACAGACAATTTCGATACAGGAAAGTAAGCACAGGAAGCTCAAACCATCATAATGGTTCAAGTGAGACTTTCTGGAGCAGGGGATGTTTGAGTAAAGGTTTGAATGTGAGAAAATCTGCTATCTGATTAAAGTGGGATATTGGCTGTAGAGCCTTGGACACAACTAGGAGTAAAGGCAGAGAGGCAAGAAAGTACAAGGTAGATTAAGGGTATGCTTTGAATAGGGAGTAAATGCGAGGTAACAGCTAGAGAAGAGAGTGGAGAATTGGTTGGCCTGAACAGGAAAAGGAATTTAGATTTTATTCTGAAGGCATTGAGGAACCCTTGAAGGACTATGTGGGGGAGGGATTGTTAACAAAAGTGTTAAATACTGTGTTACCCAAAGGAATGGCGAAAAAGTTGAAAGTTTCGGAGCATTGTCATCAATTCCTCCTCAGATTCAGTCATGTT